CGATTCGCGAAACGACGCCGCCCCTCACCTCTTTTAAGTTGCGAAGAGAGCACGGTTCTTCTTCAGGGAAGTCACAGTTTTTGGTGTTCTTCTTCGGGCTTCCTCGGGATAGAGGAAGGAAGGTGCAAGAAGTAGTTCTTTGTGGCAGAAGGATTTGCGGTGAAGGAAGAAGTGTGGCAGAAGGAAGAAGAAAGAAGAAGAAGAAGATTGTTCTCCCTTGGCTTCTTCTTGGTGACTTATTGATGCAAATGATATCATGGATGACAATGACACGATTTCAAGAGAAGATTTAATGCAAGTTCCATGTGGGCCAATTACTAGATGTCGTGCAAAGAGGGTGAAACAAGCTCTTAATGGATTAGTCCAGAAGGCTTGGACTCAAGCCAATTCATGGGGATCTAAGGAGGAAGAGTCACAAAGATTTGTCAATTTATTCCAAGCCCAAGGATAAATGAGTAATATTATTATGGCTGGATATTTTATATTTTTTTATTATGGTTTAATAATGACTTGCATGCCAACTTGATGTAGTTTTTCATTTGTTTTAGAAGATATTTTATCTTCTCTTTTATTTTCTTGTAAGCTTTAAACTATATATAGGCCTTTTCTCAAATGAGAAAGGGACTTTTGATTCTGGCCAAAAAAACTTGCATTTGCGTTGTCTCCCACGGTTTCCTTAGGATTCCAACAGAACTCTAGGCCATTGCCTAAGGAGTTCTTTCCCGACTTATCAAGAGGATTTCCACCCCGTTTGTGGCGTCTTCCATTGCACCAAGGTTCTTTCCTCACATCAAGCATAGGTTTGTGGTCTTATACAATTGTTCTTGTTTGCGTTGAGCATTGGGTTAAGGTTTACCTCCATCCATCCATTTTACCGCAGGTTGTACATATAATTCAGTTTGTTCCAGCCTTGAGACGGTTTTATTGTTTGGTTTCTTGCATCTCATTACAAAGATTTGTCAATTTATTCCAAGCCCAAGGATAAATGAGTAATATTATTATGGCTGGATATTTTATATTTTTTTATTATGGTTTAATAATGACTTGCATGCCAACTTGATGTAGTTTTTCATTTGTTTTAGAAGATATTTTATCTTCTCTTTTATTTTCTTGTAAGCTTTAAACTATATATAGGCCTTTTCTCAAATGAGAAAGGGACTTTTGATTCTGGCCAAAAAAACTTGCATTTGCGTTGTCTCCCACGGTTTCCTTAGGATTCCAACAGAACTCTAGGCCATTGCCTAAGGAGTTCTTTCCCGACTTATCAAGAGGATTTCCACCCCGTTTGTGGCGTCTTCCATTGCACCAAGGTTCTTTCCTCACATCAAGCATAGGTTTGTGGTCTTATACAATTGTTCTTGTTTGCGTTGAGCATTGGGTTAAGGTTTACCTCCATCCATCCATTTTACCGCAGGTTGTACATATAATTCAGTTTGTTCCAGCCTTGAGACGGTTTTATTGTTTGGTTTCTTGCATCTCATTAGAATTTCCATCAATTATTTTGGTTTTGACATAACACATCCAATTTTCTAATAAGAACATCAATCCCCACGATCATGTCTTGCATATATGCACATCACTTATGACAGAAGAGAAATTGGGTTTATTTCTTTTGTAAGTTTTTATTTTTTGATGTATCTTGGTGTAGAGAGAGAAGAATAGAGAGAAGAAGATATAGTAATGAAGTGAGGGATTGGTCTTGTAAGTCGAGATGATTGACTGGTGTAAATTCCTCAAGTAGTAAAATCCTCTGCAACTCCGTGAACGTAGGCAATTTGTTGAACAACGTAAATCTACGTGTTTTACTGCGTTACTATTTTCTGGTGTGAATTTTCTCGTTCTACTTTTTGCTTTGTCGATCGTTCTCCTATTTGATTTATATATATACCACATCAACTGATATCTTATCTCACAACAACTGATATCAGAGTTTTGTTCGGATCTGAGGAAGAATGATGACTGTAGATGAAGTGAATGTTTCAGAGATCGAGAAATTTGGAGAAATTTGTCGAGAAATTTGATGACACAGATTTTGGTTATTGGAGAATGCAGATAGAAGATTACCTTTATGTGAAGAAACTCTATCTTTAGTTATTGGGGAAAAGACCTGAAAGGAAGGATGAGGCTGAATGAAATTTGTTGAATCAATAAGTTATAGGGGTTATTCATTTGACCCTATCGAGGTTCGTTGCACACAACGTTGTCAAAGAAAGGATGACTGCAGATCTTATGACAGTCTTATCAGGTATGTATGAAAAGGCATCGGCGAATAGCAAAGTTGCACTTAATGAAGAAGTTATTAAACTTGAAGATGGTGAAATGTGTTTCTGTTGCTCAACACATGAATGATTTTAATACTATCACAAATCAATTGTTGTCTGTTGAAATTGATTTTGATGATGAGATATGTGTGTTGATATTGTTGGCATCATTGTTAAATAGTTGGGAAGCCATGAGGATGACAGTTAGCAGTTTTGCAGGAAAATATAAACTGAAATGTGATGATATTCGTGATTTGATTTTGGCTGAAGAAATGCGAAGAAAAGATTTCTGTGAGATCTTAGGTACGAGTTCAACATTGAATGTTGATTTCAGAGGGAGATTGTAGGAAAGAGACTCAAAGAGAGGGAGATCAAAATCAAACTTTAGTTAGCAAGCAACCTGCTGAAATTGTGGCAATGTGACCACATAAAGAGGAATTGCAAGAATCCCAAGAATATGGAGAATGATAGCGCAAATGTAGTATCTGAAGAAGTACATGATGCACTATTACTGACAGTTCATAATTCTATTGATGATGAAAGTGAAGAGTCAGGGGCTTCTTTCCATACAGGACACTCATTCCTACAGTTCCATATATAGATGGTGGAGAACTACAAATAATGAAGAAATCTTGCAAGATGAAAGTTCGAGCAAGTGGGAGCTAGCAGAACTTTCACGAGGGAAGAAAGCATTACACAATAAGTGGGTGTATCGGGTGAAGACTGAGCGTGATGACAGTAAGATGTACAAGGCTGAATTTATTGAAAAAGGCTTTCAGCAGAGGCAGGATATTGCCCATACAATGAGAGTTGTAAGCAGAGACAAGTGTAATTCATGAAATAGCTTGGAGGTGCAAGACTATTTAGACCTTGATGATATGTTGACTGAGGGTGTTACTCATGAGAAACTGAAGTTATGTACAGCTTTAGTTGGTCTTTTGAAGTAAAGATAGAGGCTTTGAGTTGCAGAGGTGGAGGATTCATGTTTGAAGAAAAGGGCGACACCGCCAGTGGAGGATATCAGTTCAAGGAAGAAGACGTTGTAGCAGGTGTACCGGCCTCCAAGTGAGAGATTTATTAGTGTGGAGCCCGGTTTGGACCTTCCTCTCGCTCTCGCTCTCTCGATCGTGAGACCCCTCCCGCTGGATTGCAAATCGGCGCTTCCCGCTCCCGCTCTAGATTCCCACTTCTGCTCTTC